ATGAAGACGGACTAAAGAACAGCAGCTCTGCACCAGACATCAGGGAAAATACCCCACCACGCATTCTCTTACCTAACCTCCATTCTACAGTGAGGGAAACGGAGGCATGGGGAGGCTCGCTCACTTGCCCAAGGCCACAAACAGCGCATGCGTGCATGGCAGGACTGGGATGCCCGCAAAACTCCAGGACAGAGAGACACCACTGTGACAGAGCCGTCACCTAAGATCCCCAAAGGGGGAGATGCCATTTCACAGGGGACAGAGGAGACCAGGGCAGGCCTTGGGGTGAGCAGGGGTCCCACAGGCAAGGGCTGGTGGCACGCAGGGACAGCAGGAGCCAAGGCCGTGCCGCTCAGGGGCCTCCCGCGAACGCATGCCAGGCTGCGTGCCTCCTCTGGGAGGTGGAGGGCTGAGGACGAGAGACGGGCGTGGCCTGCCGACCGGAGACCTGGGTCTGTGAAGCAGGCTGCTCAGGAGAGTCGGCTGCCTGCCTGGGGTGCCCAGGCCTGGAAAGTGCCGTGTCCCGGATGCCCTGCTCGTGCCCGCTGGCTGTGACCGTGGTTGGGAGGTGGGAGCCCAGAACTCTAACGAATCGGGAGGGTAACAGCACGGGTCGCGGGGCTGGACCCGACCCACGCTGGTCCAGGGCCGCTCCGGCCAGAGGGGACTGGGGAGGGGCCCGAATGGCAGCCCACCCGCTCCTGGTCACATCCGCCTGGCACAGGCCATGCTGCTCTCCCAGCATTCTGCTGCCTCTGCCCACCGGCCCTACTGCCCGCCGACCTGGGCCTGCGGCTGCCCCAAGGCCCGGCCCCCGCTCCTCACACATCTCCCAGACGAGACCAGGCACCTGCCCCCGGGGGGCTGCTCGCCAGGCACAGGCCCTGGGCGGGGCGCTTGCGGAGAGCAGGGCTGGTCTCCATGGGCCAGGGTCTGTGCACAGTAGGTCCACAGGCAGCTTGGATCGGTGGCGCCTCACAGGCCTGCAGCTGCAGGTGACACCAGGGCCCTAGCCTGGGACAGCATCTCAGCCCGGCTGAGGGCTGCTCTCCCAGGGAAGGGGTGCGATGGCCTGAGGCTCACAGGGTGAGGCCGGGCCTGGCCCTCAGCCCGGCCACTCCCAGCAGATCAGCCTTTTCCCAAGGACCAGTGACAGGGCCAGGCTCCCTTCCCCTACATACACCCAGCCCGCGTCACCTCCTCCCTGAAGACCCCCTGGCTCCTCAGACCGAGGCCCCCAGAGGAGGACCAAGAGGCCCTGTCCCACTGTGAGGAGTGTACGGAAGGACCTCAGGGCTCCCGTGCCACCACGACCCAAGAAGGCCCAGTCCACAGGCTCCTGCCCAGCACCCCACGCCCCCTCCAGGACAGCACAAAGGGAACGGCTCGCTGAGGTGTCCCCTTCCTTTGCCCTGACCAGTTGACGTTCTACTAACTGGGTTTCTGAGACCTGCAAAGCAACCCTTGACATAAGCCACCAAGAAGCCGCTCTGGTCCATGGGATCCCGCTCCAGCTCTCTGGATGGCAGCAGCCTCGTGGCAGGATAAGGACCGTGCTTTGTGCCCAGTGGCTCTGACGTCCCCCGCCCCGTGCAGGCAGCGCGGAGGTGGGAAGCAGAAGGGCTGTCTCTAACCTCCCCAGGGCGTGACGACCACCAAGGCTGGCAGGGCGCTCTGGGCCTCACCGTCATCACTGACCTCGGGAGCGGGAGTAAGGCAGGTGCCCACGGGGCCTAGGTGGCAGAACAGAGCTCCCAAACCAGACAGCCCCCTGGCCTGAACCCAAGAGGGGAAACTGAGGCTGCCAGTGGGGGTGAGGGCGGACCCCGCAGCCAAGGATGCCTGAGCGGTGGGTGTCTGGAACTGGGCCGGCGCGGCGCCCAGAGGCAGAGGTGGGCGGGCTTCCCAAGTGCACTCCTGCAAGCCACGGGTACCTTCCGCTAACTGGATTCCTAAGACCCACGCAGCAATGCTGGACAGCAGCCACCAAGAGCCTCTAACAGAGGGATGTTACGGTCCCAAGCCCCGCTCCCCATGCATGTGACCTTATTTGGAAACAGGGTTTTGTAGATGTTCTCAAGATGTATGACCCTAGGTTGGGGTGACCCTCAAATCCAACATGACTAAAATGTCCTTATTAAAAGAAGAAATTTTAGGAAGACGCAGCAGCTCACACCTGTAATTCCAGCACTCTGGGAGACAGAGGTTACAGGATCCCTTGAGGCCGGAAGTTTGAGACCAGCTTGGGCAACACAGTGAGATCTTGTCTCAACAAAAATGTAAAAATAAAAGTTGGCTGGGCATGATGGAGGCTCTTGTAGTCCCAGCCACGCAAAAGGCTGAGGCAGGAGAATCAGTTGAGCCCAGGAGGTCAAGGCTGCAGGGAGCTAGGATCACATCACTGAACTCCAGCCTGGGCAACGCGTTGAGGCTCAGCCTGTCATCCCAGCACTTGGGGAGGCCGACGCGAGTGGATTGCCTGAGCCCAAGGGTTCGAGACCAGCCCGGGCAACTTGGCAAGACCTTGTCTCTACGATAAATAAAAAAGTAGCCGGGTGTGGTAGCGTGTGCCTGATTCCGGCTATTTGGAAGGCTGAGGTGGAAAGATCGCCGGAGCCCAGCAGGCTGATGGTGGGATGACAGAGAGCATGCCACTGCACTCTAGCCTGGAAGACAGAGTGAGATTCCAACTCAAAAAAAAAAAAAGCAACAGAAAGAAGAAATCTTTGGACACAAAACAGGCAGGTACACAAGGGAACACAATGTGGAGGTAAAAGCAGAGATAGAAGCCAGGCCCGGTGGCTCAGCCTGTAATCCCGTGCTTTGGGAGGCTGAGGTGAGTGGATTGCCTGAGCCCGTGGGTTCGAGACCCGCCTGGGCAACTTGGCGAGACCTCATCTCTACGATAAATCAAAAAAATCAGCTGGGCGTGGTGGTGCAGGCCTGTAATTCTGGCTACTCGGAAGGCTGAGGCGGAAGGATCGCCGGAGCCCAGCGGGTCGAGGCTGCGGTGGCCGGGAGCGGCCACTGCACTCCAGTCTGGGTGACGGAGTAAGACTCCAACTCAAAAAAAAAAAGCAGAGATGGGGTGACACATCCACGAACCCCGGCTTCTAGGCTCACAGCAGCCACCAGACACCAGGAAGAGGCCTAGACATGGCGTCCCCCACAGCCCAGAAGGATGCAGCCACGCCAGTGCCTTGCTCCTGGGCTCTGGCCTGCTTACTGACTGAGGCACCTCCACACTGACTTTCTTGGCAGTTTCACAAAATTGGACGCCCACGGCCCACTGGCCGGCAGATCCGGCTCCTCACTACCTGCTGCCTGCCCTGGGCTGCCGGCTCATTCATGGGGCGGGCTGGCTCAGGACTGGGGCCTTCCCCGAGGCCTCCTCCCTCCCTTCTGCTCCTTCCCCAAGGGCCCAGCTTCCTGGAGGTCCTGCCTCAAGGGGACAGTGGCCAGGCGGCCTGGATCAGTCTCGCTGGGCAGAGGTGAAGGCAGAGGGAGGACAGCCACCTGAGATTCCCGGCCCAGGTCCGGGGCACGCCATCCCCTATGGCCAGAGAACACCCGGGGGGTGCCACTGAAAGGCCACACACTCCTGGCCTGGTACCTGGCCTTGCCCAGCTGGGCCGAGCCTGCCCCGGCCTCCCTCCCACCCTCCCCAGTGCCCCCACCTGCAGGTGTCCTCCCTGTCTTGCCCTGCCTTCTCCCTTCTGATGTCTTCCCGGCTTCCCCCCCAAGCCCCACGGGTCCCATGGTGTGCCTGTCACGTGGCCAGCACCAGGATTCGGACAGGGCGGTTCTTGCCCTCCTGGGCGTGGCAGAGTGAGGGATGAGGTGGTGGTGAACGGCCAGGGGCAAGGGCGGCGGTCTAGCCCGGGGGGCACAGGTCAGTGCTGGCTTCCCGGGGCCGCCCGAGTAGGGGGAAGAGCTCCAGGCCTGGGCCTCAGCGTCCGGGGACGACCGGTCAGACACCCGGTCAGACCCGGGCGGTTCTGGAGCCTGTCCTGAGGGGACCAGGCCCGAGGGCGGGCCTTGGGGAGACAACTGGGTGTGGGGGACACCCTCGTGGGATGGGGTCAGGAGCACCCGGTGGAGCCGCAGGCCCTGCCGCGGGGCAGGACACCAGGGGGCCACGCGGCCCTGACTTCATGACCCGTGTCCCCGGCCTCGGGCGGGCAGGCCAGGAGCGCCCCCCGCAAAGTGAGCAGGGCATGGAAGGGCCCCAGCCTCCTCCTCCGAGGCCAGAGCCGTCACGGAGCTGAGGATGGAGCAGATCACTTGACCGAATCGGCCCAGCCCTGCACAGAGTGGAGCAGGAAGCGGACCTCACCCTCTGCCCCTCCCTGAGGCCGGCAGCTTCAGCGTTGAGCAACCGCAGGGTGGGTGTTGGGCAAGACGCGGGCAGAGCGGGGCCCAGCCCGGCCCCAGCCCCAGCTCCGGGGCCTCCCCGTCTCCCCTCAGGCCTCACGGGCAGGGTGACCACGACCCCTGTGGCCTCCACCCCCTCCGCCAGGCCTGTTCCACGCCAAGCCCCAAAGAAGGGACCCCACGGGTCTCCTGGAGGAGGGAGCCGGGTGTGGGGTCCGCCTCCACCAGGGGCCCCAGCGTCCACAGCAGGCAAGGCTTGGTTCCTGGAGCCAGCTGCCCGGCAGGGCCAAGTCTGACATGGTGAAGGCCAGGGCGACACAGGCCAGGAACAGCCCGGGCGGCCGTTCCTTGGTGCGGAGGAGCAGTTCCTGCGTCCCTGCAGTTCCTGCTGGAGAGGCCACCCGCTCGCAGAGGAAAGGAGAGGAGCAGAGAAACAAAAGGAGAGATGCCTGCAGCACAGCCGCTTCTGGGAGCTTGACTCAGGGGGAGCCCTAGAGGACCGAGATAGACTCCTGGGACCGCCCTGAGATCCAGCACAGGAGGGGCTGGAGGGGGGAGCCAGCCTCGAAGCCTACCAGGTACTGCCGTCGGTGCCCACCTGCCACCTGCCTCCAACTGCGCTCTACCTGCCACCGACAGCGTCATCACGCCGACCCCCGTCCTGCGTCTCTGTCTGTGGCCCGGCTGCGCGCATCTGCCGTCGTCATAGGAGCCGTCTGTCTCCACCACCGGGGTCTGCCTCCTTTCATCTGTCCGCTGTCTGCCGTCTGTCCCTGTCTGCTGTCTCTGCCTGTCACCTTGCCTCCCCCTCATGCACCGAGTCCCCATTATCTGCCATCTGTGAACCATCTATCCCCATCATCTACACCTGCCCGTCCGTCCGTCCGTCCGTCCCGGGCCTCACCTGTCCCTCCCACACTTCAGGCCCGGTGGCCCACGCCCCGCCCCCTCCGCCCCGCCACCGGCCCTCCGAGGCACCATGCTGCTGCCACCGCCCAGCAGAGGGCGCCACGCCACAGCCCCTCGGCTTCCCCACGGGGTGGCTGCCCCCGAGGGCCGGGAGGGGAGGGTGGCTGCGCCCGGCCCATGCCACCCGTTCCACAAAGCTCCGGCAGGCAAGCACCCACGGGCCAACAAAGACCCCCACGTCGAAGTCTCTCCCCCAGCCCCTGCAGCAAGGATTTGCTCCCAGCCACCATGCAAGACGGGGGACCCTGGGTTGCCGCGTGTCCCCCTCTGTTGACGTGTCCCCGGCCCTCCACCACCCTCTGGGAACCCCGGGTCCCACACACACCTGGTCCTGGAGCATCTCATGCTGGGTCACCTCCATCCTGGGCCCAGACGAATCCCCTGCATCCTCGGTACGTCGGAAGCCCTCCAAGCAGCTCTGGGCTGCCATCTGCTGCTGGACTCCACATCTGCTGGACTATGTTACCCCAAGACTCGAGGGAGCAGCTGGAGGTTACGGTTTCCCTGCTGAGCCAAGAGGGACTGCAGGAAACCCGGGTGCGGGAGCCCTTGAGCCTCAGAACTTGGGGTTCTCTGAAGGTCTGGAGTGAGCATCTCCAGTCCAAACACAGCTTGGCTCTGCCCCTGCAGTCAGAGAGGCAGCCGCTCTGCTGTTCCCTCTGCGGCCTGCTCCCCTCTCCATCCCAAGCCCTGACTGCCAGACCCAGCCAGGGCTCAAGGACCAGACACCCCGGGACAACTCCAGAGGGGTCTTGATGACCTCAAGCCTAGAGGCCTTGGGCAGCCCACGGGCCCCACACTGTGGCTGAGGACCAGCCGTACGTCACAGACACACTCCAGGTGTGCGCTCAGTGGCCCAGTGGCCCGTCTGGTCCAGACGTCTCAGCTCAGGACAGAGGCCCTGAGCACACAGGCCGCAGCTGCCGCCGTGCCGGGGCCAGGCCCAGCTGCTCACTGGGCCTCAACGCCTTGTTCAGCTTTGCCAGGCTCTGAGCCCACCGGGTTGGAGGTGTCCTTCTGCCCTTTTTGAGGCTCCCAGGCACGGCCGCTCCCCCGTCCACTCTCACCTCGGACCACCTGCCCTGCACGGCCATGGCTGCCCGACCCAGCAATGCCCCCACACCACGAGGCAGAAGAGGGCTAGAGGGGGAACGTACCGGGGAGAGGAGAGCTGGACCTGACTGCGGGTTGGCAGCTAGGAACGGTCACTCAGCAGGGCCTGGGAGGGCAGCCCTCTTCTGGAAAGGGCCACGGAGGGCACGAGGAATCAGACTGGCGTTCCCTGGGGGCCACGAGGGCCAAGACTCCCAAGGGTATCCACAAGCACCCTCACACTGGGTCCTGCAGATCCAGGTGGCAGAGGGACCGCACAGAGACCCTCTGGTCCCTCTTTTGGAAGGGACCGTCCCAGAAGACCCCCCTGGTCATTCTCCAGAAAGGGACCAGCACAGGAGATGCTCCAATCACTCCTCAGGAAGGAACCGGCATGGAAGACCCTCTGATCATTTCCAAAAGGGAACAGCCAAGGAGACTCTCCGGTCATTCCCCAGGAAGGGACCACCCGGGTCTGGACCCAAGGCACACCTCCAGCCCTCTGGTCTCCTCACTGTGAAAGGGGACACTGCCCTTCCGGGAACCGCTGTCCACGTGCCCGTCCCAGGCTGGCCCCACCACGGGCCTGGCCGGGACGTCCCCAGGGGGCTCCCGAGAGCTCCTGCGGAGGCCAGCAGTGCCCTCGCTTGGGCATCCCTGTCCTCGTGGGCAGTTCATGGATGTCCGCATGGGAACGGGGCCTCTGCCCGGCCTGAGGCTTGCTGTTTGTTGCTCAGTATCTGAATAATGTCCACCGTGCACCAAGCTCTTCTGGGTGCTGCGCCAGCTGTGGGTGGCTTGACACTCGGGTTTCCAGACCACCACAGACGCAGAGGCTTCCCTTGGGGCTGCGAGTACGATCACCTTCGGCGCCTGTTGTTTTAGCCCTGGGTTCCCCGAGTCCAGCGTCAGGGTCTGGGTCAAGAGGACGGGGACAACAGCTCCTCCTTGCCCTGAACACAACTCCTCAGCTTGCGAGGGCCACCTGGGGGCCGCCTAGAGCAGAGCCTCGGCGCTGGGCCAAGGCGCCTCCCTGGGCTCCCGACGTGCGTCAGTACCTCAAGCCCACAAAACGGTGACGACTGAGATTTAATACCTGGCCCACCTCACCGGGTGCCCTGGGCACAGGTCAGGATGCAGGCTTCCCCAGTGAGATCCGGCTGGTGGGGATGTACTTCTGAGGCTGCCCGCAAAGGGTCGAACCGAGCAGCATCCAGCAGAGGCTGGACCAGCGTGGGCACCGGGCCTCGGCGTGCTCTTCACTTCCTACACTCAGCGAGCACGGGGCTGGGAAGGCGACTTCATTCCTCGAGGAGAGACAGACTCGTGGTTTCGTGCACAGTACCACCACAGAGTCACTTGTCTGTGCCTTACTGGAAAAGTCCTTTGACGTCTACTGCAATGATAAAATCCTCGCCTTCTCGTCCGTAAATACGCGAGTATCACTAAAAGAGTGAGTGCAGGCCCAGGTGGCTGAGATGACATCATAGCAGGAGCTTCCTCCTCCGGGACAGACGGTCTAGAGGAGAGAGGGGCACGGAGCAAGGGAAGCCCCGAGGCGTCGTCTCCGGCTTCCAGCCCCCGGGTGAAGAGCGGCACGCCCAAGGGCCACAGCACCCACACGGCCAACTCCGACACACCAAGGCTTCCTGTAAGGGGGTGAGCCTGTAGTGTCCAGGGAACCGGCTGCACCCTTCTCCCCAGAAGCTGCCCGCCGCCTGCTCTAAGAGTGGCCAGAAGGCCGGGCTCAGTGGCTCAGCCTGTCATCCCAGCACTTTGGGAGGCCGAGGCGAGTCGATGGCCTGAGTCCGTGGGTTCAAGACCAGCCCGGACTTGGCGAGACCTCATCTCTATAATACATCACAGATTAGCTGGGACTGGTAGCTTGCGCCTGTAGTTCTGGCGACTCAGAAGGCTGAGGCAGGAGGATCGCTGGAGCCCAGCAGGTCGAGGCTGCAGTGGCCAGGAGTGTGCCGCTGCACTCCAGCCTGGGCAACGGAGTGAGACTCCGACTCAAAAAAAATAAAAGTGGCCAGTGCAGCATAGGCCAGGGAACTCCACCGAAGGCCCATGAGCATAGACAATATGAATGTACAGCCACAGGTGGAGAGCTTAGGATAAAAATTACAGTTCAACACAGTGAGTTTTTTTAAACGAATGACTTTATTTTTCTATAAAAATGATACATGCTTGTTAAAAAATAGTCTTAAAGGAAAACGCAAGGAAAAAGCCGCAGATCCCCCAATAACCCCATCCTGGGTGTCACCAGCATTCACCGCACAGTATCTAAGCATGCCCCGTACCTTGTGTAGACCAGGGTCTGTCTGTGGACAAACGCCTCGAAGGATAGCTGTCACACCACACATGCGATGGCTGTTATTTTTTCTGTTCAAGTACAAATCATTCTTTTTGTCATTTGCCAGTAAAAAGGAGCAGCAAAGCAAGCACCAAGTGTTTCAGGAAAATAGGAGATTTAAAAGCTAGCCCTGAGCCGGGCTCGGTGGCTCAGCCTGTACTCCCAGCACTTTGGGAGGCTGAGGTGAGAGGATGGCCTGAGCCCTCGGGTTCGAGACCCGCCTGGGCAATTTGGCGAGACCTCATCTCTACAATAAGTCAAAAAATTAGCCGGGCATGGCAGAGCGCGCCTGTAGTTCCAGCTCCTTGGAAGGCTGAGGCGGAAGGATTGCCGGAGCCCAGAGGGTCGAGGCTGCGGTGGACGGGAGCGGACACTGCACTCCAGTCTGGGCGACAGAGGGAGACTCCAACTCGAAAAAAAAAAAGAAAAAGCTAGCCAGGCATGAGCATGAGGACGTCTACAGACACAGCCGAGGCAGCAGGATGGCTTGAGCCCGGCGGCGGAGGCTGCAGTGAACTAGGATGGCACCACGGCACTCCAGCCTGGGTTGGAGACTCTCAACAACAAAGATCAAAAGCCAGGCCGGGCGCAGTGGCTCACGCCTGGAACCCCAGCACTTGGGAGGCCAGCGCGGGAGGACTGCTTGAGCCCAGAAGTTCCAGCCTAGGCGACACAGCACGCCCTGGTCTTCACAAAACAGTCAGAAAGCCACCTGGGCGTGGTGGCGTGTGTCTGCAGGCCCAGCGACTCAGGAGCTGAGGCGGGAGGTTGAGCCTGCAGTGAGCTGTGACGGTGCCACTGGGTGACAGAGTGGGTCCCTGACTCAATAATAATAAGAATAAAACAAAAACGAAACCCTTAAAACCCTCAGCCCCGAGAAGACACATCCGTGACCCGGCCGCTGCAGACAACTAAGAGAAGCCCAAAGACCCGGAGCACCATGTTCCCCAGAGCCGGCTCGCCCGCGCTCCTTCCAGGCGTGGACACCTGTTGAGGCACACAGCCCTGCAGAGCCACGGCCCGAGGGCGCCCCTGTGGCTCAGGGCCCTCTGCTGCTGCGCTTCACAATCAGGGGTGGTGGGCCACCCGAGGACGTCCGCACCCTGGTCCCTAGAACCTGTGACCATGGTGCCCTGCGTGGCCCGGGGGACTGGGAGACGGGACTGAGCGCAGGCTCCCGAGAGGGGAGAGGACCCCGGGCATCACAGGCCCTCGTGAGGGCGGCAGGAGACGAGTCGCAGCTGCAGCCCCGAAGCCAAGGCCAGGGAAGGCCAGGAGGCGGCCCCCCTTCAGGAGGGAGCGGGCACAGCGAGGGCAGGCGGCCTCTGGAAGGGGCCACGGCCAGGAAGCAGACGCTCCCCAGAGCCGCCCGTTTTCCGTTCCAGCCTCCAAACGGTAGGGTGTGTGGCTTCACGCCCCTGAGGCTGTGGCAATTTGCTAGCCCGGCGATGGGAAACCAACATAGGAAGCTTCTTGGAGGAGGGAGAATCTGACTGGCTCTTGAAACCTGGGCAGAGCGGGGCTGGCAAAGCAGAGGGGCTGCCCCAGCTGGGCAGAGGACCCCCAGCGCGCACGCTCTCCCCCAACATGGCCTCTGCACACGAGGCCCCGAGTGTCAGCCCCAGGGCTGCAGGCCGGACTAGGTGGCGCTCTGCGGCCTCAGGTCAGCCCGGGGCCTGCCGCGATCACGGCCGCCTCCGGCCGCCTCCGACTCAGCTGGCTCATCTCGTACCTGAGACTCCGACATGCTGGAAACCCTCTCCGAGCACCTTTTAGTAACGTGACTGGCTTATCACAACAAGCGCGCAGAAGTAAGTCGTCCTCTCTCCGGGACCAATGGTGAGCCACCACAAACCCTGCGGGAAGCCCCGGCAGGAAGAGAGGCGCTGCGTGCCCAGGTGTCGCACTCGGGGCGGCGACCCAGAGACTGACAGCCACCTGCAGGGCTGATGCCGTCTGTGAAGGAGCCGCCTGGGCCACAGAGCTAGACGCGGACTCACGCGCACCACTCCGAGTAGCCACCCTGCCCCATCGCGCGGGACGCGAACCCACCCCGTGTCCCGCATCTCCAGGCTGTCTGCCCCACCCGCCATGAACCGGCTGGCAGCTGTCTCGGTGCACAGGGCTGTGGTGCCACCAGGGCTCACGTGCCAGTCCTCCTCGCTTTTCGTCTCGGGGGCCCTGGAGTACACGGCAGTTGTGCTGACACACAGGTATGCCAAGGAGAAGCCCCGCAGGGTTTCCTCTAGGTGAAAGGTCACAGCTCTCCACTTAGGAAACACCGTATGCTGGGGCTGCTATCTCCGATAAGACCAAACCTTCCATCCCGGATATTGTGAAGACGAGAAATCCGTGCCAGTTTTGCTGTCACCCCTCAAACTTTCCCACAGGTGTGTATACAGGAAAAGCACCATCTACACAGAACCCCATGCTGTCCATGTCAGGTGTCGCTGGGGGCCTGGGACACACCTGGGGGCAAGGGGGCTACTGCGTAGCTATTTCCACATCTGGCTGCCCTGGTATGTCAGAAAACCACCTGGCTCTCGTGATCCACAAATATTTCCAGCTTTTCCCATCTTAGAATATAGTTTCGGAATTCTCATCTGTGTGAAAACTCAGTTTTCTGCCTCGAGTACAACATCTTGTCTGTGTCTAACTTTAGCCAAAACACTGTTTTCCAGGTTCTTCAGGCTGGTGCCCTCGCCCTACCCTGGAGGCCATGGCACGGATCTGTGATCGCGTCGGGCCATGTGACACCGTCTACCCCGTGGTCCTAACACACATCTGTGGTGCAGTGAGGCCAGGCGCCCCTCACGTGCGGTGCGTCTTCTGAGCAAGTGAGACCGGACCACGGCTCACTGTCAAGCTCCACCACCAGGCGTCCGCAGAGGGAGCCACTCCCCGGGCTGCCACCCCACCCACCAGTTTCTGGCTTATTCTTCCAGAACTGCTTTTTCATACAAACAGGCAGATATTTGCGGTTTCTCATATCGCTTTCTGTGTAGCGCGCTGTCCATACTCCTGCACCTTGCTTTTCCCTTAACAGCACGCTGATGTCACCCTCTGGCAGTTCAGACCTCCCTACTCCCCTATCGACCCTTCGCAGTGCTGCGCCATGCAGGCGTGCCGCCGTTCACACGAGCACATGCAGGGGATGACACCTGGGGGCTTCAAGGCTGTGAAGCTACACACAGCTCCGTGACAGCCCTGTGCACGCACTACACACTCCGTCGGGCTTGGTGACAAAAACTAAGACTTTTCACCAACGAGCAATAGTGTGTGCAAAGTCCGTAGCCACTCAGATGCACGCCAGAGGCCAGACAGGGAGCAGGGACGCTGAGGCCGGGTGGTACCGCTGCCCCACCCGTGGGAGCCCGGGGCTGAGTGGGCGCGTGGGAGGTTCTGGATGGGGGCCCTCCCCAAGAAAAGGTCCACTGCAGTATGGACACAGGGGCTGGCCTCCTGGCCACAGGGCGGACGCTGGCTAGTCCAGTGTGTGCTCAGCATGGAAAGCCAGACCATCAGCGCCCATCGAAGTGCAAAGGGACTGACATGCTGCTTTTCAGCTCCAATATAGGCACTACTGAGGGGAAATGTCCGGCTTCATGAACACCGTCTACTAAAAATGAAAACAACTCTTTGACTTCAAAGCTACTGAGTGTGCAGGCACGATCAGAAAAAAAACAAGAAGTCAAGTATGTCCAAAGCCAGATGATGTCTTGCTTCCTATTTTGTATTCTACTTTTGTTTTTAAAAAGGGAAATGATGCCTGTAATTCTGGCTACTCGGAAGGCTGAGGCGGAAGGATTGCCGGAGCCCAGCAGGCGAGGCTGCGGTGGCTGGGAGTGGCCACTGCACTCCAGTCTGGGTGACAAAGTGAGACTCCAACTCAAAAAAAAAAAGGGAAATGCACCAGCATAGATACTTATGAGTACAGAAAGGAAAGCACTTAACAAGGGATGGTTATTTTCTGGCAGTATCTGTTTAGAACACACTGGAATTGTGCACATTCAGCATGTCTGAAGTGAAGAGCGCTCAGAGTCCTGAAGGTAAAGCTGCCCATATGACAGAGCCCTGGCACCCCCGCCTGAGAGAGCCCATAACCCGCCCTGGCACCTCCATCACCCCCCCACCCCTGGACCTCTGTCCCACACAGGGACTTAATGACAAAACACTCTTCCAAGGGAAAACGAGGCTCTAAAAGGAACTGTAACTTCGGAAAATAACTTGGGAGTGTCACAAGACAAGCTGCTTCCCTAACTCTGAGACATACCCAAGGAGGGAACACCTCTGCTCAGGCTTCCCGGGGGCGTCTCGGGACACCTGGGAGCCGACGTCTGGGAACAGCACGTGCACGCCTTCAGGGTCAAGGGGCCAGTGTGCTGCCCTCCACCCGGCAAACACACAACACTGCCCGGGTCTTCTCATCAAAATTCATTTTTTGCCTCCGACTTTCCATCCAGCAGATCTCTGAATCCCAGTTTTTCCAGTGGTTCTTGTGCCATCAGCTGCCTAAGAAAAACCAAAAAAACCCAGAAAGTCATCAGGGCAGAAGGTGCCAGGGAGGAAGCGGTGTCTACACAGGGCTCTGCTCTCACCCATGTCTGGGGCTCCAGTCACCCCATGTTCTGGGAAGACAGACCCAGTACCCTCAGCCCTGGACCCCCTTGGCCGTGCCCCTCCCCATGGGGTGGAGTCAACAAGGACACACCCACTCAGAGCCACAGCCCGAGTGCCTGTGTCCAAAGCCTTCCTGGCCGAAGCACACACCTCCAGACTCAAGAGGGACAGCTGCTGGGGTTGTGAGTGGAGCTTGGAGGCGCGCCAAGGTGTCCACACAGCTGTGTGTGATGCCCAAGGCCCAGGGTGGGCAGGGCTGGGGACAGAAGGCGGCAGGCTGTGGCTGCCTGGCTGGCCTCCAGGTACTGTGAACTCCCACCTCAGGAGGCAGGACAGGATCCGCCCGCTCCTGGGGCGTCGGCTTCCCTTGCAACTGCACCATCCAGGCGTGTGGCAGGGGGCGCCATCCCACTCCTGCCCCTGCCCTGCAGGTCCAGCCAAGGTCTCCAGACCCCACCCGGCCCCACCTGTCTGACGTAGACCCCGACGCCCCACACTGAGATTGTGCTGCCCTCTAGGCCCCCGTCACCCCTCCCCACACAGCTCCAGGGGAGGGGCCTGCCGGCTGGTTGCCAGGGGTGGCAGGTGGGGTGACGCCCACTTTCAGAAAGGTAGTCCTGCCTCCCCAGCTGGAACCTCTTCGGTCTCGCCCCAGCCTGGGCCTCGTGCTCCCGTGGCGCGGGCACGAAACGCATGCTTCTCCAGTGCTGGAATGAGGGGGAAGTCGCCAGCCCAGTGCCTGGTCCGCAGGAAGCCCCGCCACGACTGCCATGCAACCCTGGGTCCCACCTTACACAGCCGAGGTCATCTTCTCCTCCCCACCTGGCAGGTGAGGACACTCAGACCCAAAGGTGCCGTGGGCCATGGCTGCACCCTCTGGGCCAGCCTCATCTCAAAGAAAGACGGTTCACAGGATCACCTGTCAGCTCACTCGCTTCCTCAGCCACCCCCAGAAGAAAACGAAATATGGCTGACGGTCTTAAACAACTAGGACATTGGGATTTGCCGTAAAGACTTCAGCAGCCAGGTGCGGGGGCTCAAGCCTGTCATCCCAGCACTTTGGGAGGCCGAGGTGAGAAAACTGCCTGAGACCTGGGGTTCGAGACCAGTCCGAGTGACTTGGCGAGACCGCGTCTATATGATAAATCAAAAAACTACCAAGCATGGTAGCTGTGAGCCGCTGCACTCCAGCCTGGGCAACGGAGTGACACTCCAACTTCTCTTTCAGCGGAAGAACCAACAAGAGTGGGGACAAATTAAACACCCTTCCTCCCCAGTGTCCTCAGCAAGCCACGAACTGGGAAACTGAGGCTGAGAGGCAAGAGACCTGCTCACCTCCACACATGGACGGAGACCGACTTCAAACCCTGCACCTACACTTGTCTGCACCAAGAAGAAATTCTCCTGGCTCCAGGTTTCTTTCTTTCTTTTTTTTTTTTTGAGTTGGAGTCTCACTCTGTCGCCCAGACTGGAGTGCAGTGGCCACTCCCGGTCACCGCAGCCTTGACCTGCTGGGCTCCGGTGATCCTTCCGCCTCCGCCTTCCAAGTAGCTGGAACTACAGGCATGCACTACCATGCCCGGGTGATTTTTTTTATTTATTGAAGAGATGAGGTTTCACCAAGTGGCCCAGGCGGGTCTTGAACCCACAGGCTCTGGCAATCCACTCACTCAGCCTCCCAAAGCGCGGGATTACAGGCTGAGCCACCGAGTCTGGCGACTCCAGGTTTCTTAAGACACACCCATTTAACACAGTGACCTAAACATGTGGCTCCACCCGACACGCTTTTCAAAGACGGCAAGAGCTGGGTCCGGCATGGCCGTCTGGCGGGCGGGAGCCCCTGGAGGGCTGAGCGACACCTGCAGAGGCTGACGAGATGCACAGGAGGGCCACGCCGCAGGGAGGCCCAGCACCCTCAGGCCCCAGAGCCCACACTGGCCACCCTCGCACACACCTTGAGGGAAGTGTCTGAGAAAGTGCTGGGAAAGCGGAGAGGGAGCTCCAGGTGGATGGGTCGTGTCGAGCTGTCCTCAGCAGCAAAACAGCTGTCTGAAGACCGAATTCCTTAGTGAGCCCTCATGGCCTCAAAAAGCAAAACAAAAGCTCCCAGCACCACATGCCATTACTTTACAGGCTTTTGTGCATTAAGGATTAGAGCCCTTATTTTAAGTAAAACCGCATGGACCACAGCGACAAACATTTTTGTTCTGTCTGAAAGTGCACTCTGGTGAATGCTGGTTAAGACAGAAAAAGTCACTCATCTTTCATCATGTCTTAAATAGCCCATTGTCCTCCCTGTCACATTCTGAATGGCTCTAAGTGGAGCAGCACAGCATAGTGCATATTTTTACGGTCTGAGGATGTAAATGAAATAAACTGTGTACTCGCAGCCTTCAGTATTTTGGCTCACTCAGCATTTCTACAATGCATGATTTTGAAACATTAATGACAGGTCAGGAACACCCAAATGTGGAAAGAAGAGGCTCTAAGGAATGCAATCGTGTATAATGCCATCATTCAAGAAGAGGTGCCCAGCCAGGCACAGTGGCTCAGGCCTGTAACCTCAGCACTTTGGGAGGCTGAGGTGGGGGGACAGCTTGAGGCCAGGAGTTCGAGACCAGGCTGGGAAACAGCAAGACCTTGTCTCTACAAAGAAACAAAAAAAAAATAAACAAACAAAAAAACAGCAACAACAACTAAAAGATTAGCCAGGCTACAGATAGCACACACTTGTCATTCCAGCTATGCAGGAGGCTGAGATGGAAGGATCGCCTGAGCCCAGGAGTTTGAGGCTGGGGTGAGCCATGATCGTGCCACTGCACTCCAGCCTGGGCGGCAGAGTGAGAGAGACCATGACTCAAGAAGAAAAAAAGGTTCCCAAGATTGCTCACAGCTTTTAGTAGTTTCATATGATAAATCTCAACTTCAGGAGTGAACAGTTCTACGGTTCTGAAATCCACAAGTTGAAGCCCAGGCCTGAATAAGGCATACAGCAATGGCCTTCTGGGGGAAAAAAAAATTGTTTGGTCAGAGACGTGGGCAGTGGGAGTTATAACTATTACCATGTACTTACCTCTCCATTCTGCATTCTAAGTATTCTTTCGATTCATTTCTGCACAAAGCATTTTCAAAATTATTGTCATAGAGACACTTCATGAATTTTTCTTTAAAGCTTTTACATTCACCTAGAATGAAAAAGAAACCAGTGTCTTGAAACGTGGCTGGGTACGGAGACTTTCATGATTGCTTGAGCTTGGAAGTTTGAGACCAGCCTGGATAACCTAGCAAGACCTCATCTCTACAAAAAAACAAAAACAAAAAATTAGCCAGGTGAGGTGGCAAGTGCCTGTAGTCCCACCTACCTGGGAAGCTGAGGCGGGAGGATCGCTTGAGCCCAGGTCAAGGCTGTGGTGAGCTGTGATTGTGCCACTGCACTCCAGCCTGGGTGACAGAGTGAGACTTCAACTCAAAAAAAAAAAAGTGAAACATGATGTGATGTGCCCACAGAGCAGCCTTAAGAGCGGCACTACTTTTCAACACTTGCTTCCTTTGAAAACATGCTGAAAATGACACTGGAAAAAGCACGCCCCAATGTGGTAAAGTCTAGTGAAAGGTCAAGGACATAATGCAGGTGTGGGCACAGGGGAGTTCATAGTGTAGTGGTATTCTTTCAACCTTGCTGCCTGTTTGAAAATTTCGCAATAAAATGTTGAGAAAGAAACACGAATCTACAAATCTATTTTTGAAGTTTCAATTTCCAGAGCTCATGTCAGTGGCTTGCCCCAAATCTGGAATTCTGACCACAGACTTCCAGATATTGGCAGCATTTCTCAGTTGTGCAAAAGACACCAACATGCATCACTTAAGTCCCAACTAGAACAAACCGTCAACTTCAAGACTGTCGAAAGTATTTATTTGCATAACATTTTGCCAAAGAACTGGAGCATTTATTACTCTCCAAGTTAGAATCAGGAGAAGCCGGGCTTGGTGGCTCAGCCTGTAATCCCACGCCTTTGGGAGGCCGAAGTGAGTGGATTGCCTGAGCCCGCGGGTTCGAGACC